ACCTTCAGAAAGCTTGGAGAACTACTGCTCAAGAACACTTTAAAAACACGAAAGTGTCATTTGAAGCAAGATATCCAGAAAGGAGGGGTGGCTCAAGACTTTTGCACAGAACAGTACATATGTTGACCTAATTGCATCTTTGGCCAAAACTAATGAGCATCCACCACTGTAACAGGATAGACAGATGAAAGATGATAAGTAACAGCAAAATATGTCCACTGGAAGTATAAATAAGATCTATTAATCATTAATTCTATGGTTTTGCAGGTTCAGACACACAGTCCACCATCGGTTAAACCTAGAGTCGGTTTATAAGCACATTCTCCCAGGTTCTGGAAATCCAGAAGTGACAACCCTGCATTCGGAGGTCGGACACACAGTCGACTACATCTTCTATTCTCCAAAACATGTTCTTACTGGTCGACAAGGTATGAGGATGTCTGACACGAAGAATATTTAAGATGTTCAAGCTCTAAATTAATTATTTGTGACATTAAATATATTGTGTTGTTTATTGTTTCTTTTCCTTAGCTTGTGCTAGCTTTCTGAACGATGGCCTGAAACTCATCGGGTCTCTTTCTCTTCTGTCTGAGGATGTCTTGTGGTCAATGAATGGCCTTCCCAATCACATATTCCCCTCAGACCATCTCAGTCTTCTCGCTAAATTTCAGCTGGACCTCAGTAATGCTTGACGGGAAGAACTGTGATTGAATGTTGGAACATATTTTCTTTCCAACTGTTCATTTATACAGGTTTTTGTTATAAATACATTTTTCTGCTTCACTACTGGCAACAAAATCATAGTTTTGCAACTGAATAGACCTTATTTTCTTTTCCCAAATAGCAATGTAAATAATGGCCACCATTTTTCAGTCTACTTTTTTTGTGCTTTTCATTAGATAAATACTGAAATGTCACAATTCTTTAATGATGCTTTAACAGTTTCTTTTAAAAATGCAGCCATTGATTGCTTTGTTGCTGGTGTGGAAACTACATGGACCTGTTCATGTTCATGTTGCTGTTGGTGAATGTTGTTTTGTTTGGGGTGGGATTTTTTTTTTTCTTTTAAATTTAGTCTTGAAACTATGAATATTTTTTAGATTGTTAATAATGCTGAATAAATATATTCCCTAAATGTGTGCATCTCCCTGGTTTACTGTCTGGTGATGTCTGGATGACATGAATTATATTTGTGTGGTGTTGATTTGTTAATGCATGATAATCTTAGTGTGAAAGGTAAAATGTAGGCTGTAGAGTGTGTCATCACCCCGTCAGTATGCTGTTTTAGATATATAGGGTTATGATGAAGGAAAACCATGAACCCCTTACCTCTGCTGGTATGATTTTGTTTACTTTGTGTGAATTGCAGTTAAAGTTCAGTTCATCATATACTAGTGCAGCCCCTCGATTAACCCACTGTTGAGACGAGTCTTTTAAGATAACATACTTTATTTCCCCTAAGTTAGGACATTCCCTTGCCCTGCTAGCTGCTTGTCCTGTGTGAGCACACCATGATTATTATTTCTACTAGGAGTAAAACTATAAATAGATTATTCAGTTTTGGGCATGGTCTTACTTTTCAGCATTTTTTCCAATTTGAAGTATTCTGAAATCTAAAAGTCCAGTATGTTGAACTCTGCCATCGCAGTATGACAGTGCTTTAGTTTGCTGAGGCTTGTGTTCCCTGTTATAGAAGTGTTTGTTTGTATAGTAGTCCCTGACAGAGATGGTGTTTAGAGAGCTCAGTGCGCTCTGTTATGTGCCTCTGTTCTGGAAGGATCTGCAGTGCTCATTATGAACTGCTGATAGATAGAAAACCAAAAAATTCCCTGCCTGGCACAAAGACACCAAATTACAGTGTGTCTCCTTGTTAAGTATATCTACAGCAGATAAGCACCATCGGAAATTCCTTTAAAAAATTGGACAAATCAACCAAAGACTTAACCAGGGTCCAAGAGACCCATCTAGTGTCATAAAACTGTCCACAACTTGCAGTTATCACTAAAAAAATAGATATACAAACACACTAAACCACTGCCTTAACTTTCTTGTTGGAGTAATAAAAAAACCCATAAAGATGTGTTGCCATAATCAACGTGACTCTTTATTTGATTCTGCAAATCAACAGTTTTTGATACAAAACAACCGTGTTATAAGACATGAGAATGGACAACACCTACCGTAGAGATAAAAACGTTGGCTGCAGCAACATTTGAAACAGGTGATAACAACAAGTATTTACGGTGATCGTCAACAACGAGGGTATAAAATGACGGCATTTCCAATAAAAAAATACAAAATGCAGGTAAAAGTGCTGTAAACAAACTGCTATACACTTTTGTTTAAATGGAAGTCAGTTACTTAGGTTACCACTTAAGGCAAGTGAAGCATTTGATAAAGTTGCTACAAATAAAGTACAGTTCACCACAAACTCGCCTCGTTGTTACTTTACAATAAATGCAGCTGCATTACTCATCGGCTTAACTCATGTGAAAGATGTTATATTTATCAGTTAGAATAATGATGACACGTGTGTTTATTTATAGTGATTCAGACGGGCAGAGCTGCTTTGTGTTTAGTCGGGCAATAAGAATAATGGGTTAGATGTTTTTAAAAAAGTGTTTATCCTCCTCTTTGAATTATCACACAAGGCACGAGGAAGTGGTTTGCAAACTAGTCACTACACAAGTAATGGTTGCCCAGCAGAGTCTAAGTGGATATATACTACATGACATTTATTTGCACACTTACAGTACAACTAGACAGATGCAGACGAGCTCGAGAGCTTCTGTAGACAGCACAGGGACCTGTATATGTCCAGCAGCTGAGCCGGTACTTTTTGTCCAGCTTTAGCTTCTTCGCTTTGTTTTACCAAACTTTTTCAGTCATTTATAATGTTTACATATTACTGCACTTGTCCCCAGCTCTGTTTATGTTGGAGCACTGCCAGCACCAATTTCTATGCACAGTAACTGCTACAGAAAAATACTGTAACAACACAGGGAAGCTGAATGAGGCGTTGTTTGCGAGGAGTTGCTGGTAATCTATTCAACACTGAATCCTGTGAACGGGCCAGTGTGTACAAAAAATAAACCTTAGGTTAAATCACTGGCCCCTGGAAAATATCAGATTCACGTCATATGACATGTAACACATTAACCACCACTTCCATGATCTAAATCTAAATCTGTGGGCACAAATTCAATGAGCAGCATTGGAATCTGTGAGCAAGAAACAAAACAAAGGGTAGGAAGGCATAGAGGGGTACCTGTGTGTACAAAGCTCAGATCAGCCCCAAGCATGAGGAAATTTATACACAAGTCAACTCTGCTTAAAAAAAATAAATTCTGCTTCTGCTTCTCTCACGACCTGATTCGAGGATTAGAAATCTCTCGGCCCTACTGTGATTGGTCACCGTAAACACAGTCATACCCACATGGAGATTCTTGTACTGTCACTGACAGCTAATATTACAGGAAGTCCAGAGGCGGCGGAGTTAATGGAGACTCCAAATTAAGGTCCACATAACAAATTCAAGTAAAAACATTTTTGTCAAGTAAATATAACATTGTAAACTGGCAGGGAAAAAGTGCATTGTAAATTTTCTTTACCTATCCAAATGAATAGCATTCCTAACTGTTTTAAGCCTGAAGGTAAGGCTACACAGTGGGTATAACTGTTTGCAGCAAAACACTCAACTCACACGCTCTGCCCTTTTCCTGATTGGATCATTAAATTGAATTAATAGAAGTGAAAACATCAGCAGGCGTTTTTCTTTTACACTGAGCTGTGGTTGACCTAAGAGCATCCATATTTCACTGCTGTAATCAGATTTTTAAAATTGATATTGCATTTTTTATTGTTGGTTGTACCATTATGCAGCATACTGACTGTTTTATGCTGCATTTTAGCGCTTTTTCTTTTAACCAAAACACATTTGAAGATGATGTCACTTCACAGCTTTAGCTGTGCCATAGCATTAACTGTATGAGCACGTGTGTCCTCCAGCACCAAGCAGAAACGCTCTCAGACACATGTCCCATTCTTTGCCTCTCCTGTGTTTTTGTTTCCAGCTTGCAGCTGCTTCCCGGTCATTGAATTTGTGCATGAGGACTTGTGAGTGGTGGCAGTTAATATGTGCACTGTGAATAATCAAATTTTCTAATGAACGTGTTCTGTTACGCTCGTATTCTATGGCAAAATCTAACACCCTGTGTGGCGCTTTGAAATCTGCTAATTATCTAAAAAAATAAAATAAATCTTCCTCAGACTCGAATCTGTATCCGTTCCATATCTGTGGAGGATTTTTGTTCCAAAACCTCTTGTCTCCAGAGGGGCTGCAAATAAATAAATAAATAAATGTTAGAAACAACAACGAGGTTTATTCATATAAGAAGCAACTGTGACTAATTTAGAAGCTCCTTCTTTTTGCCTTCGATCATAAGACATCTCCAGCGCAAATACTGAGAGCTATGCAGAGCATGTGATTAATCATACCGCCTCTCAACACGGCTGATCCTCCGTATGGGGCTGCCTGGTCCTCTGAGGGGTGAACCCATGCTGTTCCTCCTATCTTTGGTGGGATGGAGGTGCAGGCTTTCCTATCTGCAAAACCACAAAAGACATAAGGCTTCATTCACTTGAAAACATCATGAGTGAGCTACCAGTGCTTTCACCATTACTCTGAGTGTCAGTGGCTGAATATGTCTCTGTCTTTAATGTGATTGTGTAATGCACTGAGTGCACAAGATCAGCTACTGATGGACAGAGCCACCTTGAGTAAAGCACTGCAGAGCCGCGTCAAGTCAGTTTTATTATACACCGAGCTCAGCATCCAGGCTGCCTTCATTATATGAGCATCAGAGGTGATGAGAGAACAGCATTTGAGAGAGATTGCTCTTCAAACAGCAGTTCAAATCAGTGTCACCACGCATGAAGAGAGAGCAACGTCAAAGGGATTTGATAAGCAGAAAGGGCAGTCCACCTGCGCCACTCTACCTTTAGCTCATGTCTCGAGTATGTCTCTCCAGCTCCTTCCGTACTCCTCCTTGGTGAGCTTGTCCACATCAAGTATAGAATGTTTCCACTCTATCTGCTCCACGCTGTGAGGATCGTGGGAAACGTACTGGCCAATCTTGACTTTTCGTAAGGTGTGCCAGTAGCCCCTGTATGCTCCTTCAAACTCCTGGACCAAGTCCAGTAGTGTTCGAAATCAGGGCTTAAACATGAGGTCCTCTCTTCGGCTCATGCCCAGCGCTCCGAAGCGCCCCCCGCTGTGGACTCCCAGCACAATGTGTGGAAGTGGTCCCTGAGAACTGAGATTTAAAGCTGAGGGGAAGCGCTCCACGGCAGGCATGTTGTTGGTGAGTAACTGCATCAAGCTGAGTCAAGGAAACGTACAACTGACCTTCAAATCCTAAGTCTAAAAAACGTCTGTACAAATTGATCTAAAACCGGGCATATAATGGTGAAGCCTGCTGCTTCTTATTATGTAGAAAATCCATCTGTTTTGTCGCTATACTAATAATATCTGAAGCAAAATTTGATGAGAAAACATACGGTAGATCTGCCAAAAAACAATTTATGAATCCATTCTGTCAGGCTCCACTGGAGTGAAGCAGAAAACAAAACAGTAACACTTTATAATACGGCCGTGACTAAAGGTGCAATCCCATAGCAATTAAATGGAATTTCATTGAATTTTATGCATATGTATTGATGTATCCATTAATGTTTTAAAATTATGTTGTTTTTTCACTAAACTACCAGGAAATTATGCAGTACTTAAATTTACATACAGTATAATTATTTCTTGTTTACCTACCCTTAAGTATTGAGTAGAAATATAATTACATTGTAATTTTAAATAAAATTAATTGAAATTTAATTTAATTACAGGGTAATTACGCCCTTAGTCTCAGGCTGTATTGTAAATGCTGCCAACAAAACAATAAATTAAGACCTGCACCACGTCCTCTGTGGTCATAAAGATACATTCCCAAGATCACTGCTCCAGACATTTGATTGGCAGAGCCTCCCGCGTCATCTCCTTAGCAATGTCCATTAACCTGCGCAAAACAAACGAAAAACAAGAGTACCATTTAATGTCATTCTGAGTTAGGGGACAGCAGCCTACTGCACTACCAGTTACAGGAACACATTGTTATTGATTTCATGAAAACAAAAGCATTGTCATTGAGCCAGGGAAATAATATTGGCGCTACTAAATCTAATAAAGTGAGGTCAGGGAAAGTGTTTCCAGCCCTGTGCTGATTGACACACACTCCTACACACAAAGCCCTGAAGTAACCAGAGAGATCCATATGCATGCACTCACAGCAACACTGGGTAAATATTAAGAATCAAAGACCCTCATCCAGACATCCTGTGATTGCTGCTGTAAATATCTGTGACTGAAGAATTCCTTACGCAGTAAGAGGGCGGCTTTTCTTTATTTCAAAAAAACTGCGTTCCTGTGTGATTGTACCTGTAAAGCACAGTTAAGGTCATACTGCGAGAAGGCAACATGACAAATGTTTTAAGAGAAAGGAAAAGGCAGCTCCTTAAGTGCTCTGTGGGAGTCATAGGCTGTTGGTTAATAATGGATGAAATCCTTCTCTGGCTGGAAATCAAGCTTTCACCTAATATAGCATCTGTGGTGGCCTACATTATATTTCAGCTGTCTGGCCCATATTTTAAACTGTGAAAAAAACAGTGGGTCAGTGGGATTCTGCACTTTAACATCCACATTTCCTATGATCGGTGTGTAAAATTATAAACAATCTATATAGTCTCAAAAATCATTTTAAATGCACCCTGTTATCACTGATTTAGTTCTAACCGGCTTGCTCAAAGATACTGCAATTCCCTGATGTACTTCTGTATGGCTTCCAGGCGCTGTGGGATAGTGGTGGTAGGCTGGTATGTAGGCACACTTGGTATTGGAATCTGTGGGACAGAGCATCCGAACATCTGCATTACCATAACACAATCCCAATATTCATTGCAGCTGGTGAATTAGCATTGTTTGACCTCTGTGCTCTTCTGTTTTGTATAACTAATAGCAAAAGTAGCAAAATAGAAATTTCCTGTGCAGGGAAGTTTGCACAAAACACGCATTATATATTCAGTGCTGTGCGAGCAGCTGCATTTCCTTCCTCCTTCCTTCGGGCTTTACCTTGGGCAGGTCATGGCACCTCTTATCTCCTTCGCCAATGCTTCACCGCTGGGATGGATTCGAGCCACATGGCGCCACATCCTCTCCCAAGTCTCCTCATCCACCGGGAAGCCACTTCTGTTCACATAGAAAGGCACCCCTCCATCCCTCAACTCTTCGTCGCCTTCATCCCCCTGCTCCTCGTCTCTCTCCTCCAATGAGCCAACTGTGGCCAAGAGCATCCCCTCCTTTACCAGGAAGCCCAGCAGAGTTCTGGCACAGAAACGTCCTGACTGATGCCTTTAAATCCTTACACCTTGATTAATCTGCTTGCAGGTTTAAGTAGGTGTCCACGACAGATGGCCAACTCATGACACCGAGTGGATTATGGCATCAGTATTTCATAAAAGAAAGGCTGATCTGCTATAATTAATATTCGCCTGTGTCACAGCACGTAATATGAGGCAGTGGTTTAATAACGTGTATTAAATCGTACTGCAATAAGTATTAGACACTTTGAAATAAACAATAGTAGACTAAAGGCATTCAATGACCAGAAATTGAAATAAATAAATCGAGACAATAAGGCTACTTAAGGTATAAAATGCTTGGCCTTACTGTTAATGTTCATCAACAACCAAACACAGGCCAGCCAACATTAACACTCTCGATGCGAGGATTGACTTTGCAGACAGCAAAGTATAAATTCCTAATTCCCCCTTTCCGTTAGAGGTCATTCACGCCACAGACATCCAGCAAATCGCCGCTCTCCTGCATTTCCATCTCCCCGCGCTGTCACACGTCCGCTTTGTCCGTTTCACCAAACGATTTCCGTCCAAGTCCGCCGGTTCATTGTTCACACAGATGCTCTTCTTGGCTTCAGCGTCTGCGGTTTTCACATCCAACGAGCTACTCAGACACTCCCCAAATCTCTTCTCCTGCGCATGCTCCCTACTTAGCGGATATCTCAGCAGGGGTACGATGAGCATTAGGTGCTCCTCTAAGCTGTCAACCTGAGGTCTGCTTTAGCTATATTTCAATTTTCCAATTTAACAGTATATACAATAAAAAATAGGAAATGTACTTTTGATTATAAATGTACATTACTTAAATGTTAAATTAGCTCTGAGTAAACATCACTTTACACATTTAACATGGAAAAATGGAAAGACAGAATATTCAATACACGTTTATTCAATGAAAAAAAATTGTAACAAAATGTTTCAAGAACAAATCACTCAATTAAATTATTTGCAGTTTGAAATGTGATCAAATACACCCCATCCTCACTAAATGAAACTTCCATCCATTCAAGGCTTATCTATCAGCTGACACTGGGTGAGAGGAAGGATACACGCCAGACAGGTCACCAGCTTATACAGGGTGATGATCACAATCATTCACACCAACTCACCATACTGTCAACCACATTCCCCAGTTATGTGTTTGTTATATTAACCTAACATGTACGTGTCTCTGGACTGTACGAGGAAGCAGGAGTATCCAGAGAAAACAAAATAAGCCTCAATCTCAATATTTTTTAATACAAATGAAAGGAATAATCAACAAGAAACTTCAGTCTATTTACACTTCTTGGTCAGCTGTAGATACATTAAAATCTTGGAGCACCGTAGTCATCAGGCATCCGCTCAATGTTATACCTGTTTTTAGAATCAGAACAAATTGATTCAAAGTTAGCAATAACATTATTTTAATTTTATATTTGAAAAACACTTGGAAAATAAAATAGCTACAATCAAAGCTGCCATATATTTTAATTAAAATGCAGAACCCTGCTACCTGTGGTTTGAGATGTACATGATGGGAACTCCAGGGATCTTCCTGACCTCCTCTTCAGATCTCGGTCAACAGTGGCCAGGATGTAACACTTGTGCTGCAGAAATTTTTTAATAATTTACATCTCCCTTAGCAACATAGCCAGCGTTAGAAGATGGACATTTATACACATCACAGTTACTATTTGGCAATTTGCCTTTTATCAGAGAACTGTTCCAGAAAGCAGGATTAGTGTAAACTTTTAACTCTATCACACTCCTCTTCTTACTGGACTGGTTTTCTTTAATAAACCTGAACTGCTTATTTGATTCCTTCTACAAATACACACATGCATATATATTTTATCCTGTTATTTACCAAAATTTTTAGTTTTTATGTTTTGTACCTCAGAAAATGTTTAATAAGATTGCCTTCTTTGCATATAATTAGTTGCACTTTTACTTTTGTATAATGACAAAGATTCTGAATATATGCTTTGATATCAAGGTATCCATAAAGGAATTCAAATCAAGAGTAAATAATAGAAGAGTGGACACACAAATAAATGCAATTCATGGACTTTTTCCCTTCCTGTTTCTAATTCATTTGATCATCCTGTTTTTTGTTGTTGTTGTTTAAATACCACATATCACTAATATAATATACTCGGAACATATCACAACTGAACTCGAGTGATAAAACACGAATTAATGATCTAACTACAATCAGCTGTTCTGGAAACTGAGACTCTGAGGTGATTTTTGCACATGAGACCTGGACGATCTTGAAAAATCTGGTTTTAACTTTGTCTGAAAGTGTCCTTTCTCACATGTAGCACACAGCAACACTAATCGTTCAGCTGGGTTCTCACTATTGGAACTATCTGTTTAATTTCGCCTGAGTACAGGGTAACCACTCGCTCATCAAATCTGCAATCGGTGTCTGCAAAGTCAGACTTAAGAGATGCAGCATCATACCTATGTTTATCATCTGTTTCTTACTATCAGCAGATCAGACAATAGACATTAGATATCTGACATTGCCATTTCCGGAAAGCTGACAATGAGCTGGCTAAACAACAGCAGCTGATTATAAGCTAACATATTCCAGCTACTGTTAGGCTAAGTGTCCTAAAAATCAATTTTCCATCTGTTGAACAGTTTTATTACATTGTCACATTTTATGAAAGTTAATTCAGTAAGTTTCTAAGTCCAACAATGTTTGTTCCACTCAAAGAAAGTCTTACTACACCACTACAGCGGCAAAACGGCAGCACTTAAAACCATCAGTGTCATGTCATCAACAGAAGTGAGCTCATATACTCATATCAGATCCTTTCACGATATTTTTAGCGTTCCCACAGTAATGCACAAGGACACCAGCTGAGTAACAGCAGACTGCAGCAGACCTTTTTCTACAATCCTTTACCTAATTCTTTGTTTAGGGATAGCTGCAAAGACTCCACTCTAGAGAGTTTTGGAGTTGGTTACGTAGTTCTTTTTTTCTGTGGTCAATTTTTAAGGCTACCTAATTGTGTTATCTTACTGTTAAGCTCTTGTGTGTGCTGAAACAAACAGGTGCAAAAAAAATTAACACTGAATTTAATTGCATATATTACCTGTGTTACTCGTTGGACTAAACAGTCATCGGCATAAGTTCCCTTGTGTGTGCAAGGCAGACGCTCAAATCTTGGATCTTTTGCTATCCTACAAAAAATAACGAGGTGAAGACTGTTTCAATAACAAACATAACTTTAAATGCATTCAAGTTTGAAACACTTATTTACATCAAGCAGCCTTTACCTGAGTGCGACTCTGTATTTCATTCCAAGCTTTTCAATCTCCGCCATTACACAGTCTGTATATATGGTATACCTGGATGGGATGGAATTTATTTAAAAATTCATATAAACTTTCTGTTTATTGGATGCTGATATAAAACAAGTGACATACAGCAACTTTATTATTTCATAAAAAATTCCCACTGAACACTAATACTTACATTTGGCATAAAGGCAGTCCATCATAGACTGAACAATGTCCAGTTTGGCTTGATGGAGAAGTTTATAAAGTTTGTGTCAACCAGAATGTGGTATGGTGGGCCAAGCTGAGTGTTGTATTGAAAAAAGAGGCACGATGGGTACTTAGTCCTGCACAAAAATCAAAGAAATGAAACCAAATTCATGATCAAACACTTTTTAACGATCCAATGCGTATTTCTGTTTCGTGGCTAACTTACACTTCTCTCTCCTTCAGCTGCGAAGGGTCTTTCTTCTTTTTCTCTTTTGCTTTGGCTCGGTCTGTCTCTTTTCTACAAAACAAACGATGAGTTGTGGCAGCTTTTTACGTGGGAAGTGGGTGAAGCAATGAATCACATGGCTCTAAATAAAGCAGAGACGCAGAAAGCACTGGCGAAACTTACATTCTTTGGTCCTTGAGACTGATCATTCTTTCATCGCTGCATATCTCTTCGTTTTCTGCTTCCCCTGCATTGATGAAGCCCAAAATTGATCACAACCAACACTTAACAGCAGAAACTTCAACTGTGTTAATATACAATTTCTCTAAATAGAGTGACAGAACCTACTCAAACCTTTTGAAACGTTAACGCTCGTTAAAAAAAGATACCGTTCACTGTTTAACCTTTAAAACGTCGCGACTAAAGATCCGATGTGGAAACATTGCATTAGCATTAGCATGTAGCTTAACGGTAAAATCTGCCAAAACTTTCTAACCTTCAAGTTAAAAAAAAAGAAGTTATCTAACAACAATTGTTAAGTCGGTGATGTTACTCTGATACAGTGAGAAACTACGTACCATTCAAATTTCAGTGACTGAACCCACAGACCGGCTACAAGTACGACTTGCTACCCTCGTGTTAGCATGCGCAGACGTAATCAAAAATCGACGCCCGTTCTGCGCATTTTCCGGTGCTACGCTAGCGCCTCGCAGACGAAGGTAACTGCAGTGTTTAATAATAGTTTGGCTATATTACAATATTGCATTTGTTCAGTTTTGTTTTGTGTAGTCGTGGTTTTGCAAAAGGCACCTGTGACGATATGTACCTTAATAACCATTTTGGGGCAGGCGACGAGATTTCTGAAAGGACGCTGACATTCAGGGCTAACTCTGCTAGCTGTTAGCGTTGTGTTGTCTGGTCGGAGTGCTACTGTAGCAGTTGTGAAGGGTAGCCTTCCCACTGTGTCAACAGACCAGAGAGAATTGATGATGTTGCAGTTAACCTTCCGAGGCTTTTGACCTTCCCAATAAATTCTAGTTAAGCTTTCTGTTTGAATATGTTATTTCTTTAGCTAGCAGATAGTGTGAAAACGTGCTGGCAGCTGAGCTAGCGAGACCAGAATGGTTATCAATATCTGTCATAATCAGTAGCTGCACTGTTGGTCTCTCATTGGATTTGACTTGCATATCTTTGACCCTGTTTGTCCTTACTAAAAGGTTTGCAGAGCCTCGTTTTCATACATATTTCAATGCCACGGGTTTCGTATTATTCTGGACATAAAATATTCATGTTTGTTGACAGAACAGTCTACAGCCGGGCTCCTTGGTGTTTCCATCTACTGCTTGTTTGAGCAACTTTTCTTTAAATCCCATCTGGCTAAACTCGTTTTTCCTCTGTTGTAGGAGATTTGAATAACTCGATGGTGTTTGTGTTTGAGCACGGAGAAGTCTGAGTGAAGGCTGAAAGATGGTCTGATGGACCGCCGTTTCTTCCTGACCTTCCTCTTCTGCTCACTGTCGTGGATCTTTTTCTGGGAAGTGCGCTGGAAGAAAGGAAAAGAGAGTCAGATCGAGGAATGGCTCAAAGGACATAACCTCTCTCAATACAGAAACTTATTTGAAGGTCAGTGGATCACCTTTGACTTCAATCCTACCTGACCAAAACAATACAGACATTTAGCTGATTTCTTTTTCTTTTAAAGAGCAAGCTGATGTTAGTGATATGTGTGAGAAGACTTGAGTTTTTGCAGAATAACAGAGGCAAAAGTATCACTTTCAACTGGATTTACTATGGGTTTATTTCAGAGAGATTGCATTACCTCTAGGTTTGACTCTGATGATATTTTTGTTTTGATCAGTAAACATTCAGACTAAATTGATGCCAGTGGCATGCACATACAAACAGCACAGGCTTAAGCTTTCATTATAGTAGGTTTTAATGAGGATATAGACGTTTCGGGTCATTATACTGATGTGGATTTACTGGCAAGTATGAGTATTGGAGATTTTATATGCTGTTCATGTGCCATCCAGATGTACACACACTTGAGGAACTGAGTCTGAGTGTTCTTAGTCGTTTGGAAGAGGTGGTGAAGGAACAGCAGCGCTGGAGGGAGATCGCAGAGGCTCACATCCAGCTGCTCCGAGACTTTGCCTTCCAGGAGTGGCTTTGCTCCCAGAACTGGAGCACTATTATCATACGTAAGCAATGAAAAGTCTTAACTCAACATTTCTACTAATCTGGTATGAGCAGCAACCCTTTGATGTAATCAATTACTTTTGCCTTGTCATAAATATAGATTATTCCAGGTGATTTCTAAGATTTGTTTATTTTTTAACGCTTTTTAAGTTGTTTCATGTGGTTAACACACACTAGGTTATTTATGTCCACTTGAGGGCACCCTCTCCATTCACGGCTAGCTGAGTCTGCTGACACGGAGCTGTGTAGGCTGCAGTGTTTTGGAGGGTCACTGCAGTAAAAAGCATTCTTTAGAGACTGCATTTGTGAGACCCTGCAGTAATGCAGATGTTTCTGTATATGTGTTGGGTGCTTTATTCTGATTCAAACAGAACCAGCTATGATTAGTATTAGTTATTGCGCTATCAAAACAATAAGTGTGCTGGGATTCTTTTTGAGTAAACTGTTATGTTTCTAGAGATCAGCTTTGTTTCGGAAACATGGAAAAATACTGTTTGTTAGGAAGATTCCTGACATTTTAGTGGATACAGTGTCACATTTCTGAAGGTCATGGCTGCAACACTATAGCTGCCTCCACTGCTGTTGGCTTTTATGTAAGCCTTCATTGCCCACATCATTTTTTTCTGTGCTTTTGGTTCAGTAAAGAACTGAAAAAGCCAAAGTTAATTATTAATTTTTTTTTATCAAAATGTAGTGTAAGTGGGATTAAAGTTGCTTTTAGTATTAGTTGTACCATTATGTCAGTATGTCATATTAAACTGAGACAGCATCGCGCATGCTGATAACAAAGGTAGAAAAGGCAGTCTTACAGTTGATTGATTTTAGTTATTCAGATAATATTTTATACTAATCTCTATTTTTGCCCATAAAGATCATGCTGTGAAAGCGTAATTAGAAAGTGTACTTTATTGATCCCCGTGGGGAAATTCTCTCTGCATTTAACCCATTCACTCAGTGAAGCAGTGGGCAGCCACTGGGCGCCCGGGGGAGCAGTGTGTAGGGACGGTACCTTGCTCAGGGGTACCTCAGGGTAGCTGTTCAGGGGAATCGAACCCCCGAGCTTCCAGTCATGGGGCCACCACTCTGAGCTATCCCTTTTCCCTGCATGATCTCGGTGGTCAGCTGACCAGAGACAGTATGAACATTTGTTTTAGAGGATTAAAGGTCTTCTTTGTATTTATTAATACACTGTATTTATCCAGTCCATTGTTGCGATCTGATTTCGAGCTAATGTTGTCAGGAAGATTTATAGATGCCTCTAGCTAGTAAAAATGTTGAGGGATCATTTGTGCCAGATGCAATGTATGCTGTGATGTTTTTCTGAAGTTTCTGTTGTATATTTATTAATGTGTGCTGATAATTATCAGTATATTATTTATTATGATTTGTGACTTGGTGAACCAAAGATGATTTCCATTAATCTGGACAGTAGCGTTATTATAATTCTAATAATCTTTTGCTGTTGGCTCATCCAGTATTTTCCTCCTCCAGTACACCACAGGAATTAGATTTTTTTTTTTTTTTCCTTTTATTCTATTATTTTGAAAAAGCTTGTTGGAACATGTCATCCGATGTAGCTTTTGCAATACTGATAGTTTAGGAGATAAGATTGGGCTCCTGGCCTGAATTGTACTTAAACCAGATTTGTTAAGCATGCCGGACGGTTGTGTGTGTGGTTGGAACTGCATTCTTGTTTAACAGACCTTGAGTTAAAGTTAGGTTTCAGTCCGACGCCTAAAAGAAAGGCGGTTGCTTAATGCTAGATTCATTTCTATTACCTGCTTGACATCTTCACTTTTGTTTTACACTGCAGACTGAAGACCTTGGTTGTATGAATTTGGATGATCTCTCTCAGTTTGACAGTCAGCTGCAGCTTTCTTTAGCTGCCTGGGGCTACTACTACGAAGACTACATAAAGTTGTCTACAGCATCAAGATCCTCCAGACCTCCAGGGGGAGTCGTGACCAGGACTACGAGATCCGGCTGGTGCACAGCCTCGCTGAGAGACGTCTGAATGAGAAGTGGTCATTTGGTGAGACCCTGATCACGTTTTTATTGTTGCTTTAAAGAGTGTTAGTTGTGGTTGTGTTCGCCAGCTGCAAAGTATCAACAGGCATTCAGATACAACATATAAACCGAAGTACTGTTTGCTTAGTCTTTTCAAGGTTTTCACAAATGTTACTCAAAGAAGCATAGATCATTTGAAAGCAGCTCAAATTCTTAATGGAGAAGTTATGTGTTACTTCATCTGTCTGACAACAAACAACTCTCTACCTTACCAGCTTTCCTGTTGTTTAACAGGGTGTGGTTTTTCATACTAAAGGACAAAGCTGGACATTTTTGTCACACCCTTTCTTTGCATTGATTTAAAAATAAATTTAGTGGTATGGAAGACCTACCCGAATTTACATAATAAGAAAACTATGTGCTAGAGACAAAGGAAAGTGCAAGCATTGACACGGACTCTGCAGACAAGGAAGAGGAAGTGAGTAGTTTCTACAATTGAAGTAATCAATAGTGCATTGTGTTACTGTCTTTCTCAGCGGGAGCTCTCATATTTGGCTGTAGTGTGGCACTGTGCTTCTTGATAAGGGACCTCATGTTTTACGTGATTGGTGAGTACAACATTATCTGGTAGTGTAAGAGTTGATATGGTTGGTGTTTACTTGTATGTGACTGATTTTATTCCTGCTCACACTTTGCTTTAGTTGGTGCTGCTGTTTTTTTGTTTTTTAATAGTTGGTGATGAACGTTGCTTAACTTTAGTTATTTTAATACTGAAATGTTTTTTTGCAAAATGAGTTCCAACTCTTGTGCTTCTTTCCTTCTTGTGCAGGTGGATTACTGTTTCCATCATAGCGTTTGTCTTTACCATCAAGTTCCTCTGTGAGCTTGCGGCAAGGGTGGTCAGCTTCCTGCAGAATGAGGATCCAGGGCGACGCGGTGATCGTAGCATCTACGACTATGTCCGGGGAAACTACCTGGACCCACGTTCCTGCAAAGTGTCGTGGGACTGGAAGGAA